GAGAGAGAGAGAGAGAGAGAGAGAGAGAGAGAGAGAGAGAGAGAGAGAGAGAGAGAGGGATTGGCGACATTCGGATTCAGACGCAACATTGGACAGAGACGCTGTGGGGGACTATTTGGGAGTGATATCAGCGACAGTTGGGTTGACGACATTCTCATCTCCTCCCCCACTCTTCTTCATCTCTTCCCCCTCCTCCTCATCTGTGTATGAGCTGTGCCGGGCGCCTTCATCCTTGTGGGTGGCACCAGGCCATTCACACGGTGTGATGATGATGATGATGACGATGTATGTCCAGTCTGCATTTTGACATTGCTTGGGTCTGATCGTTGGTATTCCAGTCTTCCGCTGTGCTATCTTGCTCTATCTGTGAGAGGTCGGATCTTGGTTCTTGTCTGTACTATCCTGGTATGCGACAGTTCCTCTCTGCTCTCCTCCCTAGTCCCTTTCTTCCTCTTCCTCCTACCTTGGGTCTTCCTCCATACCCAGGGAGGTCACCCAGACTTCTCTCCTCCCAGGCAGCTCTAGAGGAGTAGCGCTCCTCTCTCCAGTGGTGCTCCTTTCTCCAGCGCCTGCTCAAGCAGCATGACGCCCAAACTTGCATACCGCAAATGAGGAGTAGCTCTTTGCTCCTCCTGGGAGATATAGCGGCCAACTTGCCTCTGGGTGGTGACTTCCAGGCCGCGCGGCTTCCAAGCAACCGGTACCTCCTCCCTTTCAGAGGGAAACATCATTGCAGGCTCTGATACCATTCGCACAGGCCCTAGACTCAGGCTACTTGGACTGGTACCCGCCTAGACCTAGCCTACCAGCTACTGGGCCTCTAAAAATGCCAACTTTTTGTCTTCTTCTGCTCGGCCTCCGGTTCCTGACACATCTACCGCTACCTGAGTGGTACCTATCTACCTGCTACTTGAGTGTTTTTCCCCTGCTGCTCTAAGTGTTGCAGGCCTACTCTCACTACTTGAGTGTTTTCCCCGCTGCAACCCTCAAACTCACGGCCACAGGTAAGTACCGTCCCTGCTGGGCCTCCAAACAAACAAGTGCCCTTGCAGGTCACACACACACTCAGGCCAACAAGCACTCAGACAGGCACTCAGACCATCAAGCACGTACACACACACGCTTAGAAAACTCAGCAGAACACGGGAATCTCAGCAAGGCATTAATTCCAGCGGCAAAACTCAGAAATCAGCAGTGTTCTCAGTCTGTGTTTTGGCAGGTCATTACAGATAAGTGACTGGCATGTTTTCTCTGCCTGCCTGCCTGCATGCACGTTCTTTTGCATCTGTGTTGCCATGTCCGCTACACACACGTGACACCTCCACCAAAAAAAATTATGACTGTGCCGGACTGTTTCGTTGTGTGCGCGCGCACGTGTGTGTGTGTGTGCACATTGCACACACATTTTTTTGCATGCAGGACTTTCGCCCTACAGCGGAGCTGTTTGAACAGCTTGGGGTTCAGCCCAACAGCATGGGAAAAATATTGGCAAGGCATCCAAAGCTGATGACACAGAGGAACAATATGCTTCCAAAGATCAAGTTCTTTGAAAAACTAGGTTTGACTTCGGGGGAAGTTGCTGAGGTAAGTTGCTGAGGTTTGACCGATCACTGCTGATCTATGACATTTTCATCTGAATGTGACGCCTGCCAAACTTAGCGTAGTATACAGGAGCGATATCTTCCCCTCTTGGTGACATATGCCTGTGTGTGTGTGTGTGTGTGTGTGTGTGTGTGTGTGTGTGTGTGTGTGTGTGTGTGTGCATCTGATCTTTTCTAGTGCATTTTCAATTGAGCGCCGAGATGGTGAATGGTTTGTGTCACATTGTTGGACACGTTCGACGCACAAGAAGAAGAAAACGCCTGACTACGGGTATACTCGCAGTAGGAGTTCCTTGGACGTATCGCACCCCAACCATGCCAAGATGCAGTGAGGAAAGTCCTTATTGCTAGCAAACGAACAAACAAGAATGAATAAACCCAAGCTGTACAACAGCCCCCCTACCTACCATTGTGAGGATTGAGCCCTCAAGTAGGGGCCTTGCCATGATGTACATGTTCTGGGCTAAGACCCCAGCAAGCCTCGTGCCCGCCCTAAGTGAAGGCAGGCCAGCAAATCAACAAGAGCCCTCTGTGCCAACATTTCACGAAGTGGGGTCCATACAGTTG